TATCTTACTAACGGGCTAGCCCGTAATTTCAGCCCGCCCGTTTTTTTGTTAAATGGGCGGGTTTTTACCCGCTCATTTTTAACGGGTACAAGCGGGTCGAGCGGGTAGCGGGTTACTTGCTCAGCCCTATGTAAAAGTTCTATTTGATCCTTCACAAAATACATCTCATAAAACTTGATAAAGCATTGATGAGTTATTGGGTTATTAATGAAAACACCTACATATTTAATTGGTTTATTTGGGTGACATGTTTAAAGGTAAACTTAACAATTTTAATTAAAGATGATTTAGAATTTTTATAGAGTTTTTTGAAAAATCAAGACTCTTAATTTTAATTATATTTCTTGAACCGTTTGATTTTTTAATTAAATGACGCAGGGTGAATTGGATCGGAGGAGGGAGCATCATTGAATATAATATACACATATCTTGCAGCTTGAGGGACGGTGGCGGGAACAAAACCATGCCGTGCCGGTTTTCTCGCGGGGTCCGAAGTAACTAATTTTTAAATATTGAAACTAAAAATTACTCAATTTTTCGACAAAACATTCTCAAGTATATATTATATTGGGTCGTTTTTTATTAAAAAATATAATTTTAAATTTAACATTTTGTTATAAGTTTTTAAATTTTTTTAATATTTTAAATTCTTTAAATCTGAAGCATTTAAAAATAAAAGTATGATAATTTAAAATATTAAAAAAATAAAAATTATAATAAAATTTAAATAAAGTGTAAGAATTCAGTCGTTGACAATAAAATAGGAAATGGGGGACAATTTCAATATCCAATGAAATAGAAGGATGAATAAACTATAAAAATGGATGGGTCGCCGGCTACGCCATGTACCAGTTCAAGAGCGTCACGCGGACTTGTCATTTGAGCTTCGCAGTGCCGGAGCCCGTGCGTACCGAGATTGCTGGTATCGTTGCCAACACTCTTTCCCCTCTTTTAGGGTTTCGCGGACTCGACTATTAATTTTGCGGTAATCCGAATTCTCAGCTTTTTCCACTATCAGCACTTCTGAAACCCGTCTTCTTGGATTTGTTATTTCGATTTCCACTTGATCCTGAATGTTTCTAGATTCATTTATTTCTTGGGTTCTCTCACCGTGCCTAATATATGATATGGCTTTTGATTTGAAATGCTCCAAACTGTGGAATTAAGGTATCCTGGAGAAAATGTTTCGTGTTTCTGAAGTAAATCTTAACAAATATATATTTCTGTCATTGGAATTGGGTTACGTGAAAACTCCGAAGAGGGGAATCAGTTTATTTGTTTCCAATGACTTCTTTTTGGAACGGCGGTAATTTTTGTATGCCTTTATTTCAGTGTGGAAATTGTGGCTGTGACTGCTGCTTATACGGATGCAGATTTCGTGCGATTAGATTTTTTTTTTTTGAAGTTTCATGGAAGCTTATTTTTAATGGATTTTTGTTTGCTTCTTTTATACAGAAAGATGGTCACAGATCATTAAGGTTACTGCTGAGTTCGTAGCTAAATGGATTCCGCAAGGAGTTGGTTACAGAAGTTACAACCACGAGATAAAATGAGGTCATCGTCAAAGAAAAAGGACGATAGTGCTGGGGTAGATTCAAATCAACCGGTAGATGACGAAGCTCTTTCCAGTACCACAAAACAGAAGGTTGCTGCAGCCAAGCAGTACATTGAGAACCATTACAAGGAGCAAATGAAGAGCCTTCAGGAGAGGAAAGAACGGTATGATTCAATCTTTTCTCGCCGATAATGATTAGGCTTTTCTTTTCATTTTTCCGAAAAGAAAAAGAAAAAGAAAAAGAAAAAAGAACTATTAATTAATGACTCTTCAAACCACCTAAAATAAATACCTGAGCGCCCTCTGGCTTTCCTGTTCTGGTAGTCTACGCAATACATACAATTCCAGTTCTTTACTTTAATACGAAGCTCTGTGTCTCATTGGATACTTCCTTCTCTATGGATGACATGGTTGAATGTTGATGATGGAAGTTTCTTTTGTGTAGTCTTATTATTAAGTCAACAATTAGTAGACTTCGTGTCTGATTTGATACCTCCATCTCCATGGATGACGTGGTTGATGATGGAAGTTTCTTTCGTATTGTCTTATTATTAAGTCAACAATTAGTAGACCTATATTCATTATGAACATGTCAAAATTGATGAAAGTATTATCTCTGCTTGAATGTTAATATGAATTACGATTTTGAAAATCACTTTCATGGTTAAAGTTTCTATGCCTCATTTTTTCTTATTAGTCGAACTATCTTGGAAAAGAAGTTGGCTGATGCTGATGTCTCAGAGGAAGATCAAAGCAACCTTCTTAAGTTTTTAGAGAAGAAGGAAACAGAATATATGCGCCTTCAAAGGCATAAGATGGGCGTTGATGATTTTGAGTTATTAACTATGATTGGAAAAGGTGCATTTGGAGAGGTATGTATAAGTTTATATATGGTGATGATTGAGTATGCCTCTTTTTCAAGTTTGTAATATTTTTGTCCTATTAATATATTGAAATGTGATGGTAGGCTGATTTATTTTTATTTTATTATCCATGTTTTTATTTGTTTGACTTAGTTCTAGATGTTTTAATTGAGCATATTCAAGAGGAAATCCCCAAATGTATGCTTTTTGCAAGTGATATAGTTCTTATTAGTTAGACAAGAGAAGAGATTAACTGCAAATTTGATTCATGGAAGAGGACATTGGAATTGAAAGATTTCCACCTGAATAGGAGTAAGACGAAATATTTGCATTATAATTTTGATAATAGGTTAGTTAATAGTAATTTGGAATTGAAATTGGAAGTTCAAATCATACCTCAAGTGAAAAAATTTAAATATTCGAGAGCTATTATTCAATATGATGGGAAAATTGATGGGGATGTTGCACCTAGGGCACAAGATGGGTGGTTTGGTTAGAGAAAGGTTAAAGATGTTATTTGTGATTGAAAGATATCTAATAAACTTAAAGGAAAGTTTTATCGAACTACGATAAGATCAACTATATTATATGGTAGTGAATGTTAAGTTTTAAAGGGATAGCAGGAGCATAAATTTAGAGTACCAAAGAGGAAAATGTTGAGATGGATGTGCAATCATACACGTTAAGATGAAATCTGAAATGAGTATATATGAGGTAAAGTTGGCATAACACCTATGGAAGGAAAATAATAAAAAATTGTTTAAGATGGTTTGGACATATATAGAAAAGACCCTAGGAGGCACTGATAAGAAGAGTGGAACAAATAATTTTGAGCCTTGTAAAGAGTAGTAGAGGAAGACCGAAAAGAACATTTATGAAAGTTATTAACCGAGACCTCTTAGTTAACAACATTCATAAAAGATTGGTAAATGATAAAGCACAATGACGTAGTGTAATTCATGTAGTCGGCCCCATCTAATGAGATAAGGTTTGTTATTTTTGTTATTATTATTTGAGTTCATCAAAATTGAGAATCAATTTAATACTTTTAATTTAACATTTATTCTTGTTTGAACTCTCATTCATTTATAGGCATATAATGATCAAAGCACTTTTAAAGAGTAGATGTGTAGAGGAAAATATTTGTAATAAGTAGAATATATTGAAAAGGATGATTTCGATCTGCAAATAATATAAAAATAAGTTTTTATTTCCTGAGAAAGGATGCCCCCCCAAAACCCCCACTAATTTATTTGATTTTGGAATGAAAACTTGCAGTACTTCTTAGCTGAGTCTCATTGTTCTTGCACGTATTTTTCTGCCGATGATTTGACTGCTTCCTAAACTTTTGAATTTGATGTAGGTCAGGGTCTGCAGGGAAAAGATGACAGGCAATGTGTATGCAATGAAAAAGCTGAAGAAATCAGAGATGCTTCGTAGAGGCCAGGTTGGCAGGTTTACATTTAGTAGTCTCTAGGTTTTATCAAAGTGCATGAGGTTGCCATACTCATTTTGAGTTTTGTAAATCTCTTCAGGTAGAACATGTCAGAGCTGAAAGAAACCTCCTTGCAGAGGTTGACAGCAATTGTATAGTCAAACTTTATTGTTCATTCCAGGATGATGAGTATTTGTATCTTATTATGGAGTATCTACCTGGTGGGGATATGATGACTCTTCTTATGAGAAAGGATACCTTGACTGAAGATGAAGCCAGATTTTATGTAGCGGAAACAGTTCTGGCTATTGAATCTATTCATAAACACAATTATATCCATCGGTATGGGGCTTGTTATTTATTAGTGTCCAAGCAATCCTTTGTTCTCTTTTATATTGAATTCGACTATTGCATGTTGGTTAGGTTCTAGGGAAGCCAATATACAGTGACTTGCTAAAATTCCAAAACTATCATTGGAAGTACAAGTCTTCTCATGATTCTTGACTGCTACACATGTCAATTCAAAATGGTGTGACACTGAACTATATGATGCCTAAAATCTAATTTTATTGTTTGTACATCAATTTATTTGCGACAAAAGCTGCCTTAGTTAACAGTAGAGCATAAATCTTTTCAATATTTAATGATGCAGGGATATCAAGCCTGATAATTTGTTACTTGATAAATACGGACACTTGAGACTTTCAGATTTTGGACTATGTAAACCATTAGATTGCAGCACACTTCAAGAAGATGATTTTTCAGTGGGTCAGAATGCAAATGGATCTTCACAGAATGATGAACGCTCAGCTCCAAAACGCACACGACAAGAACAACTACAACACTGGCAAAGGAACAGAAGAACACTTGTATGTTTACTGCAATCATGTGCTAGCTATTTCTTATTAGTACTTGCTGTGGTGTTTCCTCATAACCTTGTTAAATGTACAAGTCATGTGCTGATAAAATGTACTTGCAAACCCCCCTCTCCTTCCAACATGAAGAAAACCATGACTGCTAATACTGAGGATATTTGTGAGGACTGAAGAAGATTTGTTTCTTTTCTCAATGTGTGAGGAATAAGTGTGTTCCTTTCCGCTTATGTTGTGTGTGCTTTATAATGGTGAATTCATGGATGTTGCAGGCTTATTCTACTGTTGGCACACCTGATTATATTGCTCCAGAAGTTCTATTGAAGAAAGGTTATGGAATGGAATGTGACTGGTCAGTTTTATGATATTTAACTCTTTTTTGATTTATTTCACTCTGATTTGTGTGGCAAGTGAATTAGAATGTATATTTTAGAACCCAAGTGTGTTCTTGCCATAATTTATTGGTTATCTTTCCAAAATATTTCAACTTAGTTTTAGTTCCTGTTTGGGAACCCAATGTTTTACATTTAGAAAATCCATTTACACTTTTAGGATGTTAAAAGTTGTTTGGGAAACAATTTGTACCCAAATTGACTTTCCTAAATTTAGGCTCAAAAGTACATTTGGCTAATCTTATTTCCTGTAGCTTTTCAAACTGAAAGCACATTTCCATCCCTCAAAACTTATGCATCATTCATCACTCTGACGCTCTTTGCCCTTCGTTCCATCATCAGCATCCCAATCAAATTAAATTAAAAACCTTATTTATTGTACTTTCACGCTAGTTGCGTTATGCTCTCAGTTTTTGTGTTCTTAGAGGATAAAATTAAAAGGCTTGTTTAATTCAATGACACTAAATAAAAAATATCAAATTCTTTCATATTTAAAAACGTTATAATTAAAAAATTAGCCAAATAAAACGAGAACAAAAACAAAAACATTAGAAAAAGGTAATATCAAAAGCTGTCATAAATAATTAAATAATTTTTAAATATTTATGATAAGAATTAAATATCCTTCTCAAAAATGCCTTGTAAAAAAGATGAGGGGTTTTTAAAATTTTTAGAACAATGTAATTATATTTAAATTGTTCTAATATAAAATAGTTTTATAACAAAAATTATAAATAATAAAAATCAATGTCATATTCTGTAATTATACATTCAAAAGCACATTGCAATATATATAATTCAAGCAACTTTTAATTTACCAAACTAACTTTTGAAAAATTGTATCCAAATACAAATTTTGTTATCACAACTGACTTTTATTGAATTGAACTTTTAACAAACTGATTTTTCACTGATGGAAAACCAAACGAGCTCTTACATTCACATTTCATGCTTGACATCGTTTGTCTTTTCCTTTTTTCTTTTTAATGGTTTCATATATTATTGAAATACTGTAATGATTGTTATGAAATATACAGGTGGTCGCTTGGAGCGATTATGTATGAAATGTTGGTGGGGTATCCTCCATTTTATTCTGACGATCCAATGTCAACATGTAGAAAGGTAATATTTATGATAGAGCTGTTCATTGCTACGAACATATCTTTGACATAGCTTTTAGTTTTGCAAGTTATTCCAAGAAACTCATTGTATTTACTGTAATTTGAGCTGTTTGCGTTTGATGTTGAAATTTAGGTAGTTATAATTCTGTTGCAGTTCTCATCAATGTCTTGCCTTTTAAAATATTTGAAATGATACTAAGGAGGCATTTAGTATCATGTGATCTCAGATACCACAGTATCTTGCATATTTTGGTAGATATTGCAATAAGGATAACTTTGTATTCATGATGCCTATATTAGGCTACACGTGTTAGTCCATGCTGTTTACTTTTTTGAATTTCCATGTACACCTTTTGAGACACACTCATAATTTCTGAGTCAATTAATCTGGAAAGGTTATGATAAAATTGGTAACTGAAAGAACTAATGTATTCCACCTTGTCATGTGAGATGACAAAATATTTTGGCTGTTATTAAATAACATCCTTTTGGGTTAAGAAGCAATATAAAGGTGATATTTCAAATGTCATCATGTTATTAAATAACAACACACCAAACATTGTCATCCAAAATATCATGGTATGTGAGATAATAAGGTCGAGATCATAATGCACCAAACAACTCTTAAAGATCTTAGGGAAAATCACAACCCAGGACTGTTGAATAACATTTATTACTATACAAGACCAAATAATTCTAATTTTGCTCTGCAAGACCAAGGGGCCTAAATGTAATTAAAATTTATTGTGAAAAAACAAAACTATCCCTGACACCACACACACGCACACACACACACACACACACTTGTTGTGATGGGGGGAATTTAATGCTGTTAAAATGGAATTGAAACTTATTTTTACTTGAATGAGGTTCATTAGATCACAATACTTCCTCTTTACCACTTAGTTAATATTTTAGAGTTGTTAATGAAGGAATTGATTGTTGTTAAAATAGAAATGAAACTTTTTTTTGTCCTGAATGAGGATTTGTTCACTAAATCACAATACTTGTTCCTTTCCACCACCAAATTAATTTTCTGAAATTGTTGATGAGAGAATTGATTATTGTTAAAATGAAAATGAGACTTGTTTTTTCTCAAATAGGGACTTGTTAAAAGAGTATATATATACATGAGGGGTAGTTTTGTCTTTACACAATAAATTTTAATCACGTTAAGGTTACTTGGTCCTGCAGAGCAACAAATGTTATTCAGTTGTCCTTGATTGTGATTTTCCCAATATCTTATTGAGCTAAGTTCTTGGCAATTTTGTCCTCGTGTACGAAAGTCAAACCATATAAGCCAATGTTCAGTCATGATGAAGCTGACCCATTTTTCCCCTGTTAAATTCATTTGCTGTGAGTCTGCCAGATATTAGTTGAAAATTGAAATACGTGTTTCATGCAGATAGTAAATTGGAAATCTCACTTGAAGTTTCCAGAAGAGGCAAGACTATCCCCAGAGGCTAAAGATCTTATTTGTAAACTTTTGTGTAATGTCAATCACAGGCTGGGGTCAAACGGTGCTGATGAAATAAAGGTGTTGTATGGTTTGCTCTATTAGAACATCCTGGATTTGTTCCATTATATGTTTGGATATAGAGGTTACCTTGCTGTTGTATTCCATTTCAGGATCATCCATTCTTCAAAGGTGTTGAATGGGATAAGCTATATCAAATGGAAGCTGCATTTATTCCTGAGGTCAATGATGAATTAGATACTCAAAATTTTGAGAAGTTTGAAGAGGTATTTGGGCCTTTACGGTTATTGCTAGGCATAAATGCTTATCTAATGCCTTTTACCTTTTCCTATCGCTCCTCATTTTCCCTTTCGCATTTGCAGTCAGACATCCAGAATCACCAAGCATCAAGATCTGGGCCTTGGAGAAAGGTAATCTTGGATGCATACTTCTCTGTTGCTGATATGTCTGCAAGTTATCACCATAGTTAACATTTGCATAATCTTCTGTTGACTGATATGGTGATGAAACAGTGCGGTGTTCTTTTCAGTCAGTATAATATATGAAAAGAAAATAAGCATCATTATTTGAATTACTTCCATATGGAAATTAAATACATCTTGGGTGTTGTGAAAATTAACTTCCCCTTGATTTTACATTGCTGTGAGTTGGCTGTTGAGCTAAGTTGAATAAAATTTAACGTCTGGTAGGCAGGGCCATGGTAGCAGGAACAGGAAGCATGCTGCCGGCTGTTGAACTTGTTTGACATTCCCATATCAGAAGTTCTAATTTATTTTTCAATTTTAGACAAAGTATGTCTTCTGAAGTCATTTGGCTAATGTCGAGCTAAACAAACTTTTTCAGGACCATGATAAGGATTATGTCTTAATCGATACCCTTGTAATTCCTGAAATTTGGATTTGCCAGTCATGACACCTTTTCCTGAATTCTTAAGTAATTTTAAGTTATGACTCTGCTAGGATTTTGTATTTGTTGGGCCCAGTGAAATGTAGATGATTAAGTATGTCCCTGCTGCTCCAAGGTTGTTTGGAATTACTCGAGATATAGGATATCACTTTCCTCAATGAAAAATTTAATATTGTTTGCCTTGCTATCATTAGCAGTACAAATGGACTTGCCTTTGTCAAGTGCAGTCGTTGGTTATATTCTTCATTAGCCGGTGCCAATGAACGTTTCATTTAGGCAATATATCATGTTATATGGTTGTTGATCTTCTCTTGTTTGATCTTCTAGTTCTTCGTCTGTTGCCGCTGATCAGGGCTACACATTTTTTTCACTTTCATGTTGTCTCTTTTAATGGGTGATTTTACAGATGCTCTCGTCTAAGGACTTAAATTTTGTTGGGTACACATATAAGAATTTCGAAATTGTCAATGACTATCAAGTTCCTGGGATGGGTATGTCACTTTTTCTTAACACCTCTGCATATTAATTTATAATGTTTTATGCAACGCTCTATATTGAAACCTTCAATCATGATCAAGTATATTGTTTTACCAAATACTCGGATCAGGATTAAGGTTCAATAATGGAAATTATAGCCCATGTCATGGATGCCATTTTTTTTTTAGGATACATTATTTTCCTTTAATGCAATAATGGATATTGAATATCATTAAACACATGCATGCACAAAATAGTTCTCGATATAATTTTTTTCCTCTTACCTTGCAGCCGAATTGAAGAAGAAATCCTCCAAATCAAAGAGGCCGACTATCAAGTCACTTTTTGGTATGCTTTCAAAACTTTCTGACCTTTCTTTTTTATTTAAAAAGATCGATATATTTGGTTGCTCGCTCCTGTATACTTTTCTGTTTCTCATCTGATCAAAATGGGGTTGAGACAGTTGGTGAATCAGAAACATCAGAGGTGTCTGCTTCTTCAGATGCACCTGCAGGCAATCAATCTGCTCAAGGGAGCTTTCTAAACCTCTTGCCACCCCGTTTAGAGGTAACTAATAAAGACAGAGAAACCTCCTGACAGGGCAAAACTTGTGACATATCCAGTCTGACAGCATAGGAGCCATAACTCATGCCAACAGCGTTAACTTTTTCAATGTTCAATTTATTATTCTTAACGTTATTCGATGCTTGGATACGTTCTTGGCTACAATAATGGTTACTTGGTACTTGATTGCTTGCTTGAGCAAAGGCATGAAGAAAGTTATGTGCCCTAACTATGGAGGTGTAAACCTCTTACTGCATTATGTCGGTACGAGAAACACTGTAAACGGATATACTCTGTAAATTTGTACGTTAGTGATAGCCAATTATTTGTATCACTTTCTATCTTGCAACGTGTAATATATCCTAGGGTTTTGTTACGATGTGACTTATCAATCGTAATTAAACTTGTTATGTTAAATTACATAAAAATGTAAATATCGCACCATCTAAGAGTACTATAAAATATAGTATAACTGAACCGAACAGTTTTTAAATTTTGCATTGCACATCATTCTTGAACGTTGATTCTGAGAGGTTGGTCAAGTAAACCTAATCCAAACTGGAAGCATTCTTTTAATATCGAGTCCCTTTGTCGTTTTGGTTGGTCGTTCATCTCGCTTACCTTGATCTTTGATTGTGACTCAATCTAAAAAACTTTGGTGCTACTTCAAAACCTTGCCGCTGTTAGACGAATTCGAGATCCGCAACGAGGAGAATATGATCTTATTAAGCTGATTGACGACAAAGTCGTAACTTTTTAAAAAGACAATGTTGTGAGATTTTCAAATGTCTTAGGTCATCATAATCCTATGGCATTAGCATCTATCTATTGAACAGTATGATTGCCGAGACTTTTGATCGCTTCACCCGGGCACCTTTAGAAATTTTGTCAAAAGCTCCTGAATTTTGTTCACAATATGAGCTCTTTAGGTGTTCCATTTTTTTTGAGATTAAACTTTTTGTATGTATGAATTAATTACGTGTAATATACTACAAGTATTCTGTTATATTATCGATCATCTTGATATATGACTAGATAATTACAACTGCATCTTGTAATGCTGTAATGACAAGTAGTGCACTTTTTTTTTTCTGGGCTTGCGAAAAGAATATATGAAAGGAAAAATTAATTGATTCATCCTTATAGTATTACTGATCAGTCTTTATACTTTGAAATCACACAAACTATAATGATGAATAAATAAAAAAGATGACATTGGAGATTCCTAAAATTTAGGTCCAATTTTATTTGATTAGTTCAAATATTAGGGTCTATTTTCATCATATCCTTCATTATTATGTTCTCCTCATAACTTGAGGTGCGCTAGTAATGAATGATTTGTGGGGACATATTTGAGTGAATTCAATATTTATAATTATATTTAATTGATTGCGTGTTCTACTCTGCTACCCCCTCCCACTATTTTTTTTGGTCTGGGTCTCTCGCATTTCACTTTTTCATAATAGTTATGATTATGATTGTAATTATATAACTTGATCGACTATTAAGATAATCACCTCTTTCAGTCATTCCTACTAAATATAAAAGAAGACGCTTCAAATTACATATTAGAATATATTATCACGTGAGGTTCATATTAGAATATCATTGTGTTAAGCAGCTCACGGGACCATTTTGTTTATGAATGTATTTGATTGATACCAGTAAACATAACGAATGTACGGGTATCAAATTTCATGGAGAGAAAATCATGTTGAATGTTATGGCCACATATGGGTGTGAAGAGTGAGATGTACAGTGAATGGAATCAACTCAAGTTCACATGAGTAACAGTGGTTGGGATTCAAATTTTTTCTATGGAAGAACAAATTTGATTGCCTTAAAATAATTTAACCCTTATATATATATATATATATATAACAATTTAAATGGGAGGGATCTATCATCTACCTTAAAAAAATTCAAATCTACTTCTTGTACTAAAACAGTGAATGGTTTAAATTTGACTGTTTTTTTTTTTTTTAACATTCTAAGAGTATTTTCATAGACATCAAATCTGGACTTTCACCACAAAGGCGATGGTACATACATCTGCAGTGAAGATGAAGGGATGAAGAATGTAGTGGGGAAAAAAAGCCAGTGGATGGAACAAGATTGATAATATTTAACTCTAATATCGGTCAGCAATATCATACAGTAGATTTTTTTTTCCCCAAAAAAATAGTTGTGTCAAATCCTCATATGTTAAACAATACATAAATCCGAGATCGCATCGATAAGACGACCAGGTATCGAAAGAGACAGAAGCATGAATCGAGCACTTCTTGATCACGTATAAAATACAAAGAAGCAGATGACAAGAATGGAAAACAAAATACCAGAACAAACAGATTGACTTGAACAAAGTAAGGAAAAAGCAAGAGAGGGGAGGGGAGGGGGAAAAAGAAAAAGAAGAAGAAAGAAAAGCAAAAGAGAATAAAAAGGTAAAGAGATAAAGATTAAAGAGAGTCCCTTCGCAGCACATCGCATCGTGGGCAGCACCCAAGGAGGCTCAAGTGCTAAATGCTAACTAACTCATCGCCAGTCTTCAGTTTAAGGGAAAACAAAAATCTGTAAGTTTTTTTTATTTAAGGGTAATTTAAAGCTGTTAATTAATATCGGCGCAGAGAACGGAGCTAAAAAAAAAAAAAGAATTTTGTTATGTTTACGAAAGAACGGGAATTTTATTATTTTTTCGGGCAAGGAAAGAATGAAATAGCGATTACTATATAGATTTCACGTCGTACAGTTTTTCCATTGTCATCTTTCTCTCTCATTTACATCAGTTTCCGCCGTCCATCATCCAGCTTTTGTTTTGCGGAACTACTCTTGTTTCTTCATGCCTCGTCCCATCCAGCGCATGCTCCTGGATCTCCTCCGTTGTTACTATTTTTATTTTATGTTGTAAAAGTTTCTTTCAATTGTTCCTGGTAATGTTCGCGTCATATTTTATCTGGTCAACTCGTTCCTGTTTTCTGGAAATTAGGGCTTCTATCGGCAATTGATTCGGTTTAGTTGTGGTAAATGGATGTCACTGGAGAATTTGGTTTGGCCTTCTGAATAAAGACTTCGTCTTCATTCCTGGGGATGCTATAAATTGTTTCGCATTGGTTTTCTCCTATCTGGATTTACGTCATACGCAATTTTACGATCAATTGGATCACCGTATTGGGAAGTTTTATTAGAATCGGGTTGATTATTGAAGAAAGCGAATCATTTGATTTGTCGGGCCCTTTTAACTGGTGAGTCGGCGGAGGAACACGGTGTATTTTTGGTCTTTATGCCATTTTGAACATCTAGATAAAAACCTGGGCGAACATCTGAGTAGAACAACTTATTACAGTTGGTGCTTGGCGGCGTACTGAAGGTCTTGTTCATAATGGATCATGTGATTGCTGGCAAGTTCAAACTGGGAAGGAAAATTGGGAGTGGGTCTTTTGGAGAGCTTTATTTAGGTAAATGCGAGTACTTTTTCACTGACAGCATCTCTTGCGATGTTATGTTTCTATAAACACGCTAATCCTTCTCTTATTTCTCATGTTAGGTGTTAACGTTCAAACTGGAGAGGAGGTGGCTGTTAAGCTGGTATGTTATCTTTTCTTGATAACCCCCATTCTGTGTTCGGTAGGGTTAAAACGGTTTAAAAATTGAATCTATTGTGACGTTTTGCTATGTCAAATGATTGCTTAGAGTTTAGCATGAACAAATCACTTCTTTTTACTTCATCTACAATCTCAATATTAAATGTCGTTACTTAATAATGCCTGCTTTGGATAATTGATGCTCTATCTTTCTATGCAACAGACATTGGCACTTTGGATGGTGACATGCATTGAATTTTTTTTTTTTTTTATATAGTTGCTATGGGAGTTCCAATAATCATAAGCAAAACCTGATGTGAGGAATAATTTGTTGACTAAGCAAACAACAAAAGGAACAACATCCATCCTCCTCTCAATGTCAACTTTGTAACAGTAGCTAAAGTTTAGAAGAAATGAATGCTCTCTTTAAGGATTCGAGAATTGTGTGAAATGCTGCCTTTTCTTTTTAGTTCTTTTTGTTTCAATGTGGTTTAGCTTGTTATATCCTTTTTTTTTTTGGGGCCGGGGGGGGGGTTTATAATATCCTTGCCTTTGTTTATTTCTAGAGACATTTGTATACCAGTTAGTGATTAGTGATTCCAATATGCGCATGACATTCTGTGCTAATTTTTAACCAATTTCTTTTGCTCCCTCCCCCTTCTCCAAAAAAAAAAAAAAATTCAGGAACCTGTGAAGAGCAGGCATCCACAGCTGCAATATGAATCAAAATTATATATGCTTCTTCAAGGAGGAAGTAAGTCTGTGGTGACTTTACCTTTTTAGCTTTTTTGTGTCCAGAGATTCTTTAAGTGTTTACTAATATGAAAGTCTCTTTTGACAATTTTGAATATACAAATGAAATATATAATTCGTTCCTTTGTATTTGGATTCAGGAGTATAGTTATACATATGCCCATTGGTCTAGAATTATACTTCATTATGAACAGAACCATTATTCTTCTCTAAGTCATGCCTACAAAACAAAAACAAAAAAAGTTGCAAAAAATAATAAGAAAAGAAACAATATTGCTCTTAAGTAATTGGATCTGGCTTTTCTTCAATAAAGCGGGGATTCCTCACCTCAAGTGGTTTGGAGTTGAGGGAGACTACAATGTTATGGTTATTGACCTTCTTGGGCCAAGCTTAGAAGATCTGTTCAACTATTGCAACCGGAAGTTCAGCTTAAAGACAGTGTTGATGCTTGCTGATCAATTAGTAAGTCTACTTGGAAACCATTTTAAGTAAAGTGTCATAGACAGATTTACTAAGTATTCATATTGTTATTATTATTTTCAGATTAACAGGGTTGAATATATGCATTCAAGAGGATTTCTTCATCGTGACATAAAGCCTGACAATTTTTTAATGGGTCTAGGGCGCAAAGCTAACCAGGTAAAGGAGTTATCAACATCAGTAACCCATGCTGAGAGTTGCTTTTCAGCCTCAATGTGGATTTAAAAAAAAAAAAAATTCGACAGGGGAATTACTCTATCAGATATGTATGCTGATCGGGATAACATTAACTTTTGTGTTTGCTTCTGCTAGATTTAATTGTTTTGTTGTGGATAATTTAACTAAAGGATTTCTTGCTCTCCACTGCCTTGCTTTCTTCTCCTCAATCTTAGAAAGAAAAAGAATTCCATTCTTTTGTCAATTAAAGGAGTCAAAACATGATCAGGAGATTCTGATAAGAAAATATTGGGTGAATGCAGGAAATTTAGTTCTTTGTAATTATTTTGATAATATGTTTATCATGGCAGGTTTACATCATTGATTATGGACTTGGAAAGAAGTA